AAGAAAGAAAGAAAGCGGTGTTAAGAAATTAACAAAATGGAAGTTGAGAGGGAGTTCGCGAACTAACAGTGCCTTAAAAGAGGCACAGCTTGAAAATGTACAGAAGAAAATTACTATGGTACCACTGTGGAAGCTAATACTTAATAATTGGCCAACGCACGGGCTGCCCTTGCGAAGATGCGTTTTGTGCAGAGTTCCCCGCAATTTGTGTCGCTCCGGCATCGGTTTTTTCGGCAGATCTTTTTAGCTAAACAAATTAAGACTGGGTGCCAGAACTGGCAGGAAACACTTCCTTAAAATTTCAGCTTTCTAGTTTTCCTGGCTCCTAATTTAGCAATTTACTGGAAAAAAACTTTCGCGGGTTTGCACGCGCGTACGACGCATGCCCGATGTCTGGGTTTGAACTCGTTGAGACTTTCTTGGACGAGGAACATCTTCTTAAAACTACAGCCTTTTAGCTTTGCAGGTTCTCGAGTTATGAGCTTACCCGAGAAAAACTTTGGTGAACCCGTGCGTAGGTACCACGCATGACCGAGGGCTGAGTTTGATCTTGTTGAGACTAATGTGGACGAGAAACACCCTCTTAATGTTACAGTCTTCTAGCATCTCAGATCCCACAGTTATGAATTAGCCCGAGAAAAATTTTGGCGGGCCCGTAAGCGGGAACTACGCTTAACCGGAGGTTGAGTTTGAGCTCATTAGTACCTACATGGGCGGGAAACATTCCTTTATAATTTCAGCTTTCTAGCATCCCAGATCCTCAAGTTATGAATTTACGCGGGAAAAATTTTGGCGGGCTCGTACGCGGGTACCACGCTTACCTGGGGATTGGGTTTGAGCTCATTAGCACCTACTTGGACGGGGAATATTTCCTTAAAATCTCAGAACCCCGAGTTATGAATTTACGCGGGAAAAATTTTGGCGGGTACGCACGCGGGTACCACGCTTACCCGGGAGTTGAGTTTGAGCTCATTAGTACCTATCTGGATGGGGAACATTTCCATAAAATTTTAGCTCTCTAGCTTTTCCGGCTCGCGAGTTAGCAGCTTACTAGCAAAAACTTTGGCGGACTCTTGCGTGGGTACCACGCGGTAAAGACCGCCCATTTTGGGGATGGGGGCCCGTACTTGCATGCAGATTAAGTCCTCAAAGTTTCAGCCCTGTAGCTTCTATGGGTTTCGAGATGAAAAATCGGTACAGACGCGCAGCGCACATACAGACACATACAAACACACACACAGACAACCTCTCGCCAATATGCGTTTTTCGCATTGCATTGCTGCAAAAAACGCATAAAAATGAAAATAAAAATCCCATCATGGACCGAATAGTACCGGACAGTATACAATCTGCCCCATCCAGCTCCAGCACTTCAGCATCTGTAATCGCGTTATCCACATACTAGATTCCCCTTGTACTTATCAGTAAGGTAAGATAACCGATTTTCAAATTACAAGTAAAAAGTTCTTGGTAATGACTGCATTAATAGCATCAGAGGCATGGAAAAGATACATTTTAGAAACATCCGATTCCCCTAACGACAGCCTAGATGATTTTAGCGGCAAATAAATCAGAGTCCCGAAAAAAAAAGCGCACATAGCTGTCAGGGAAGTCGATGTGAATAGCAAGAAAAACTTGAAAAAATCTCAGCAAATAAAGAAAAAGATGAATGCAAACTAACCTCCTTTACAGCGCGATCATTCTCCAGATGCTCCTTGAACGACTCGAACATTGTGTCCAACGACTCACCAGCTTCCGAAACGGCCATCTGCAAATTTGAATTAGCATCTTCAACTGCACAACCTAAGGTAAGGTTACTAAACTGGTCATTCCGGATGCCAGCTTCAATTCAGCAATAATAATAACAGAGGTGCTAACAATAAAAAATAACGATAATAACAATAATAGTAATAAAAGTAATTATTATATTTATAATAATGGCAATGGCATTACAATAATAATAACAATAATAATAACGATAATAATAATAACAATAATAATAACAACAATAATAATAACAGTAATAAGGCTGATAAAGCAGAAATAATAACACTCGGAAGAAAGCGACACATGTAAAACGCAGGCAAAGTTGGAAAATGAAAGTAAGAATGCAAAAAAAAAAATAATTGGCCAACGCACGCGCTGCCCGTGCGAAGATGCGTTTTTTGCACAGCTCCTGGCAGTTTTTGTCGCTACTAGCACCGGTCTTTCTGGCAAATGCTTCTAGCTAAACAAATTAAGACTGGCCGTCAGACCTGTCAAGAAACATCCTCCTAAAATCTCAACTTCCTAATTTTTCAGTTCCCCGAGTCAGTAACTTACCCGAAAAAAAACCTTGGCGGGCCCATACGTGAGTACCACGTACACCTGGTGTTTGGGTTTGAGCCCATTAATGCCCACTAAGATGGGGAACATCCCCTTAAAATTCCAGTCCTCTAGCTTCTCAGGTTCCCGAGTTAGCAGCTTACCCGGAAAAAAGTTTCACGGGCCCGTATGTGGGAACCACGCATATCCGGGGGTTGAGTCTGAGCTCATTAATAACTACACGCCTTAACAATTTCAGCCTTCTAGCTTTTCCGGTTCTCGAGTTAGCAACATTCCCGAAAAAAACTTTGGCGGGCTCATACGTGGGTACCACGCGTGCCCGGAGACTGGTTTGAAGCTCATTAAGACTTGCGTGGGCGGGGAACATCCCCCCAAAATTTCAGCTTCCTAATTTCTCTGGTTCCCGAGTTAGCGACTTACCCGTAAAAATTTCAGCGGGTCCGTACGTGGGTATCACGCGGGTAGGACCGTCCATTTTGGAGAGAACGCATGTAGACTAAGTTCCCAAAGTTCCAGCCTTGTAGCTTTTGTGGATCTCGAGATGAAAAATCGGTACAGACGCACAGCGTACACACAGACGCGCAGCGCACACGCAAACACGCACACAGACAATTTCCCGTCAATATGCGTCTTCTGCACGCATAGCTGCAAAAAACGCATAAAAATGAGGAAAAGATTGTAAAAGAACCAAATCAGTAAGCAAAAGGGAATATTTCGGTCCACTAAATCGCATACATTTCTTTTCAGTGCCACAGCCGGAACTCGTCAGTACGACGGTTATGGTACGACCAACTTCAAATATATAGTAGCGTGCACCAGGGTAGCTGGTGCGAACACGCGTTTTTTGCAATTCTATCTAGCTGGTGGACGTTTCCTGCTTTGTTATCTGGCATATGCAGAAATTGTTGAAATTTTCTGTTCACTAAAACCTGAATTTCTCCGTACGTGAGATCTAGGCGTACGCGGGAGCTGAATCTAAAATCTTCGAAGTCGCATATGGACCAGACTATGGGGCTGACAGCTGCTCGGACAATTGCAGCACAATTTAGTATCTCACCACTGCACCTGGCCCTTATTGTAGACTCGTCCTCTCGACTAGGACCCTCGAAGCGCTGATGCACTGGCATCTTTCACTACCAAACATCACCGGCCCCAAAGAAATGCGCACTGTCCAAAAATGAATTGCTGCAAGTGCAAATATGTGATAAAAACCAGCAGCTACTAAAACACGGCTCGGCTCGGCTCGTCTCGTCTCGTACATGATCTGCAAAAAATTTTTTTCCCGAAAGGCAGGTAGGCTTGTCCCAGGACGAATGGCGGTAGTTTGAATATGAAGCCAGCGTAAGTTAAAAGAGTAGAAGGGAAGGATTTTCATGGCTTTTCAGGTCACGCATATGTGATGTGAAACGTATCAGGGTAGGTGCATTTAGCTATCTGTTATTCAGGCAAGTCCTTTCTTTTGATATTACCACAATGCTAAACGCATCTGCTGCTTTGGCAAATTTATACGAAAATTTTCGTTTTGATTTTTCGGCAGTTCATCGTTCTCGTGCTCGCGCAAATGTTACTATGAACAATTTGCAGCAATCTGCTAAGCAGTTAGCTGAGTTCTGTTTGCATACGAACAACAGTTTCCAAAAACTCTTTTCCGACATGCATGCGCTTAATGAAAATTATAGAAGTCTTACTGCAGAAACCAATACTTCTCTTGCTACAGTAGCACAACGCATAAACATCATTCATCAAAATTTAAATATTCTCCTATTAAATAATGTCGAATTTCGGGTTCATTATGAGCGATTCTTATCGCCTTCTGCTGGGGATCAACTTCATCAAAGTAACCCAAGTCAAACAGAGTCTATAGCTACTCCAGATGTTGAACAACGTTCCGATATTCTTACGCTTTCAAATGATTTGCTTACTTCTTCCATTCGTCTTACACCATTTACAGGAGATGGTGATACACCATTCTTTTTATGGCTCAGAAAATTTGAGGATCTTGCACAGGCTCAGAATCCAAA